AAAAAATCGAGATGATTTTTTTTTAAATTATAGAATTGAATGAAAATGAAAATATGACCCTCAGGACGTGGGGTGGTGTGGATATAAGTGAACACTTTAGGGTTCCTGCAGAGAGATGGAGATCAAGTTGGTGGTGTCAGTCTGTGGTTCCTATCTGAAGGGGAAAAACTGTAGGGAGAGTTAGGTACAAGATATGTGGAAATCAGGCAAGTAGAAAGGGTAAGTGGTATATCTAGCCTATTCTTGAGTTTTGCCTGCCTGTAGTGATTGGAATTAAGTGAGATAAAATTCTTCACTGTAGTTGAGCATTTTGTATTCCATTTTCTTCTATTTCTGACACCTGTTCAAAGCATGCATTCTGAAGCTATTATTTATTTATTTTTAATTTTTATTAATTACACTTTATTCACTTTGTATACTCCAATGAACACCTCCTCCTCCCCTCCCAGCTCCACCCACCCACCCCCTTCTTTATGCATGCCCTTCCCCAAGCCCACTGATAGGGGAGGTCCTCCTCTGCTTCCTTCTGATCCTAGTCTATCAGGTCTTATCAGGAGTGGCTGCATTATCTTCCTCTGTGGCCTGGTAAGGCTGCTCCCTTCTCAGGGTGAGGTGATCAAAGGGCAGGCCAATCAGTTCATGTCAGAGACAGTCCCTGTTGCAATTACTATGGAACCCACTTGGACATTGAACTGTCATGGGCTGCGTCTGTGCAGGGGTTTTAGGTTATCTCCATGAATGGTCCTTGGTTGAAGTATCAGCTGAGGCTATTTTTAAATGCAGAGAAATTTAGAATTATTTTTCCATCTAATTAAACTAAGCTCTTCCTATTGTTAGCCTTGATGTTCGCTTAGTCTATATGAATTGAGTACAGAAGCTTTCTTTGAGTTAATGTTTCCAAAGGACTCATGCTTTTCTTTTCAAGTTTGTTAAGTTTTTCTGCTTTAGGCATTATTATTATTTATAAAGAATGGATAACTGCATTTTAAAAACCCTCTCTTATGACAATCTTTTCATTACTGATTGTGACATTTATTTTCATTTAATGTAATTGTTAAATTTTGGTAAAAATCCATCCATCATGTCCTTTCTATCTGTCCCAGCAGTTCTATAATCCTCTTCTCTCATGTTCTTTCATATTTACAGAAAAAAATGAATGATCACTTAAATGACATAACATTACTGTATTCATTATAGTCAAGATGTAGAACCAAATTATGTGTTCATTGATGTATAATTTAATAAAGAAAATTTGATTTCCTATACCTTAAAGTAAAGAGGATGAAATCCTGTTGTTAGCAGCAGCACAGAGAATCTTAAAAATACTGAGCTAAGTGAAATAAGCCAGACACAGAAAAACAAATGTCTTGTGATTTCACTTGTAAAAGAATATTGTGATTATCCAAGGCTAGGGTGGTGGTGTAGGAAACAGGGAAAAATGTAGGGATTTTCTCTTTTGGTGCACTCTCCCCTGCTCTTGCTCCCTCTTCTGTCCTCCTTTCAGACATGGCTGGCTTCCAGATCTATGTAGTTAAGGATGGCCTTGAATCTTGTTCCTCACTGCCTGTCTTCCAAGTGGTGGGTTTGCAGGTGTCTGCCACCACATCCACCATTACCCTCTTTCAGTCTGGAAGTTACGTATTATTTTTGTTCTTTTACCAATTACCCTGAAAGTTTTACATGCATTCTTGATAAATCAGTGTCTAAACCTAATCTACATTCTATGTTCATTTAAAGTAATTCAAGGAAACTAAAATACTCCCATTGCATTTAATCACTTTTAGATTCATATGCAGTTGTGTTGGAAACTCTGAGTTACCCCCTGGGACCTTTTCTGGGAGTCTCTGAGCAGACTCCCACTCATTTAAACATTCTGTAAGGATGGAATTGCATGCTTAAAATGTTAACTGGCCCAGCCTTGTTGTGGATAATGAATTCTTAAACTTAAACGAGGCATAGCTATTTCATATTTCTCCAAGAAAGAAGGTTGGCAGCTTGGTAAGGGCCATCTCTTTTTACAGGAATGGAAGTTGCCAGGCTGTAGGGAGTAGAGCTGAATACATAATTAGCTATACTCAAATGATGACCAAAAAACAAAACAAAAAAACTAAACAATACACAAAACTACTCTTAGGCTGTTACTAGCAGCAGGTCAGTGGCTTGCCTAAAATATCAACTAACACACAAGACTAAAATGGCTTCATTTCCTGATTTAAAAAAAAAAATCTTTGTTTCCTGTTTCCTCATCAAATGGAGGCCTGCAACCCTTTTAAAACTCATACTGTGAATGTTGAAGGAAGAGACAAGTTCATTTCTGCAGAGCTGTCTGAATGAAAGTGGGAAGAAAGCTTAAGATGTATATTGGACCAGTTTAAAGGTACTTTGTTCTCATGATTATCGCAGTGGAAAGTCATTAAAAAGGTATTAGTGTTTTGCCGTAGGGGTGGGGTGGCCTGTGGAAGCTGTTGCTTGATGAAATTAAAGCTCAATTAAATTGTGTTGCAAATATGGCCTGGAAGAAGAGACTCTTTCACCATTCTATACTGAATTTACTCAATAAAGCGGAGAGATTTTGTGCAGTGACTGCATATATTAAACACATGTGCTCTGATAGCCTGATGTTTGACCTGTCACTGAGGCTGTATAATAATGTACCCACACATTTCTTGACACCATTGTGTGGTAAGTAGGCACCTTTATTTTATACACTACCACTCTGCCTTTTCTGGTCCCATGGGAGCATCAAGGGGTACCGATAACAACCTTGGGTTTACATTCTAATTTTCTATCACAATCTTTCCTGGTTGGGATGTTAAACTAGATTCTGAGTTCATGTGGTGGCTCTACCTCTAAAACGCAGATGACTCAACCTTGAGTCACTGAAGTGTTAGTTTTCAAAGAGAGGGATGCCAGTGGCGGTACTCTCTGCAGGTCTAATTTAATCCAGTACAGTCTATAATCTCAGCATCCTCTGCTCCAGGGTTATTTCGGCCATGTGTTACAGATAGGCAAGGGATGTCCAGAGGCTTGATGATTCACCCATGGTCATAAGACTAATGACTACCATGCTTAAACTGTGTTTCCCAAGTTTGGAAAATAACGCCGGTGATGATTTCCGACTCCGTATCAATGTAAAGAAAGTTCTGCATAAATGGCAGCTTCCCATGGCAATGTTCCCCGTTGTCTTATTGATCTCCAGGCTCCTCTGGGGATGAGAGACCCAGCAGCCTCACAACAGCTGCCTTCACAGTCCACAGACAGCACAATAGCCCTCACTGCACTCTCTCTTTAACTTTAGGAATCGATTGATGGATGGTGTGGGAATGTGACAGGTCCTGCAGACCAGAACTTGACAGAGATTGAAAGCATCTATCAAGAGTCTGGGCCTCCTGTTTTGTTAGCCGGGACACCCGCTGGATTCTGCTTGTTAATTGGCTCCTGTGCAGGCAGCTATTTCAGCAGCAGTTCTGTGAGTCTTCTGTGGCTCATCTTGATTTAAAGGGAAACGTTGAAAAGTGCTTCTCAGCCACTCAAAGCTTCTGCTTGCTCACGCTTAGCTGATTGGATGAAGAGGAAAGTAGCTTTCAAAAGTGTTATGCAGACAAAAAGGTAGCTCATTCTATTTCTTCAAACTTAGGGAATACATTTTTTGAGAGACAGTTGGTAAAGTGCCTGATTTCTGCCTAAAGAGATGCTTTCCCTAATGTCAGATGGAATTGAGAAAGAAGTTTGTGGAAAAATTGCCACCATGACCTTAAGCAGGCAGTCTTTGAGCTGATATGATAATGAGGAATTGGGGTGCTTTTAAAATAGACTGAGCATGTTGATGACTCCACTAGCAGTCAGCCAAAAGGACAAGAAAAGGTTTAAACTCTGGAAAGGAGGGTTTTGCCAAGGAGATTTCAATGTCAAAGACTGTATGAGAAGCTAAAAATAGGGTGCTCATGCACGTCACAGGGCCGTGGGTGGAGATATACACACAGCCAAATGATGCCATTTCCACTTCAGGCAAAATCTGAAGAGAAAAACTGGCTAGAAAACATTTAGTCATATTTCACTTGAATTATACTTATAAATGCTGAATTGCAGATCTGTCAAAATAAGGCCCACCAGCACTTCCTTGCAGAGGAGCCAGATAGTCAAAGGCTACAGCACACAGATGGCCAAGAGCTTGCAAGAACATTATGTTGGGAAAGCCACAAAGCTAAGCTCCCAGCTGAAGACAATTCTGAGAGTGAAAATGGGCAGAAATGTCCCTGAGGTGTATGGAATGGAGCTCAGAGTGGCTTGAATGTTGAATACAGGAAGAAAATGAGCTTTGACACAGCCTCAAAGAGCTGTGAGTTCCAGGTCTCAGCTCTCTCTCTCCGGAATTCATAATCAAGGGTCTATCGCTGTTGGTGTGATTGTTCTGCTAAGTGAGAACGTGCTTGCATGGTGTCCTTGTCTAGCAGAAATCCCAATGCTTAGGAGCTTGCTCCTGTCAACACCTCCACGGCACACAGGAGATGTGTATGGTACCAGGGTCTGAAAGTGAAGTGTTTGGCATTTCAGGGGCAAATGTCTCATCATGCACAACAACTTCCAATACAAAACTGGTAGAATGCAGTCTAATCTCTGTTGAGTCTTGTATTTACTTTCAAAATCGTATCCCTGATGACTCAGGGATAGCCCTCCAAATATTTCGCTTGTCTGTGTCATCAGTTCACAAGGACACAGGGCTGCCACTGGTGCAGGTGGGAATCTGGGAATCAGGGCTGGGAGAAACCAGGAAGAGAGAAACATCTTTCCTAGCTGACATGAAGAGGCGAGGAGCTCTTGTTGGCTAGTGCTCGCATTGCAGGTGGCATGACCTCACGAAAAAGTTTGCCTCATGCATCTGCTAGTTGATATAGCAGTGGGAAGGAGGAAATGGCTCAAGATTCATGCACATACACTAAATCATGATGAAGGTCCTGGAGAGCTGACTGAGCTCAGCCTAGCACCATTTGCTTCAGTGTTTAGATAAATTCTGGCTTGGCGAGCATCTGCATCTCATGCCTCTCGCTTCTCTCTCGGTAAGTCATTCTGGAATCCTGTGATCTTTGCTCCCTAGATAAAGTCAGAATACAGAAATAAAGGGAAATGATTTAACCCGACGAAGAGGGAGCATAGATGTTAAGAGATAATAGTTAAGAACGGTTGTTAAAGATCAGACACCTGTTAAGCTATAACACCCAAGCCTCTTTCTCCACTACTTGCCATTACAGCCCAGTGGACAGCGACATCATCTACCAGGAAGTGGACTCTATCCCCACTTTCATATGCAGGAAAGGAAATAATGGTGTTCACAGCCCATTTACTTGCCTCGTAGAAGCAGGATCTGAACCTCAGCCGCTGCCATTAAGCAAAGCCTTGAACCATCCTATTATTCTCTCTGCTATGAGCTTCTCCACTTACTTTATACATGATGAGAACAGATGAAAAGCAGCAGAATGACAGTAGTTGTCAGGGGGATTAAGTTTCTGCTCTGCTGCTAGTGATCAGTATACCCTCAACAATGCTCAGTCATGTGAGCCTTACAAAGTAAAGCTTTACCTATGAAGTAGTTGAAATAGCACATATCACATTCGTAGTAGGTTTATGCTGAAGTGATTCATGTGGAGAAGCTTCCATCAAAATCAAAGTTTCCCACATGTTTACTACATGTATAGCTCTGCCATGGCCTGAGCCTGGATTCGAATTCATCAAACTAGTGGGGACTTCCTAACCTTTTAGCACCTCATCTATGAAATGAGGCTTCTGTAACCCACTGATGAGCACTGAGGAGAAAATGAGAATCAGGGTCTAGATGTAAAAACTGCTGGTGTATCTGACACCATTGAGAATGCAGCTTACTTGCAGGGGAAGCAGATAGAGCTGCTGAAGAAGCAGTAGATGAGGGGGTTGATGGCACTGTTCAAGGCTGGCAGGTTCTGGATGATCACAGAGGCATAGAAACGCTCCTTGGTGTCTGGAAGAAGGTTGAAATTGTCCAACATGTCAAAGAGGAAGTATGGGCTCCAGCAGCAGATGAAAGCTAGGGAGAAGAAAGCCATTAGCACGGCCATGGTCTGACCTGAAGCATCACTCTTGGTTGGCTGTGACTGGAATTTTGACAGGGATGTTCTTTGACATGAGAGATCTCTCAGGAATATTGGCCTTGGGTATGCTGTTATGAACAGTTGTATGTGTTAACATAACTGTCATGTTTGCCTGAACATGTGTATTGGTATGCACATATCCTGGAGACAACTTCCCTAAAATGAAATTCTCGCTCCCCCTGCCCCCCACCCCCTGCCCCCCGCCTCCCGCCATCTTCTCTATCTGGAGAAGGAGCTCTGACTTCCACTGGTGTGGACTTATTGCAGAAATTCTGGGATCTAATAGGCCTGGTTAGGGCCTTCTACCCATCACAGTGCTGAAGGAAAATGAGAAAGACCCTTTAGAGATCCCTGAAACAGACAGAACATGGTGAAATCTGACCAGGCATTCACTACTACTTCTAGGAGATAAGGCAGAGAATAAAGTGATCCTAAAAATTTTTAAAGCATGACAATAATGATCTCATGTTTCTTTTCTATGTCTAAGTTAACGTCTTCAGAAAACGCCCACCTACTCTTGTCTAAATCAACTGTGTGTGAGTTCAAGGCATCAAAGTACAGGAGTGGGATATGGGAATCTTTATTGTGATGATAATTTATGTGTCATCTTGACAGGGCTCCGGGGTGCCCAGGCATTGGTTAAATGTGTCTAGATGTGTCTGCAAGGATGTTTCTGAATGAGAATAGTATTTGGATCAGTAGGGTACATAAAGTACTATGTATGTATGTATGTGTGTATGTATGTATGTATGTATGTATGTATGTATGTATGTATCTATCTATCTATCTATCTATCTATCTATCTATCTATCTATCTAT